AAGAAGAAGAAGAAGAAGAAGAAGAAGAAGAAGAAGAAGAAGAAGAAGAAGAAGAAGAAGAAGAAGAAGAAAAAGGAGGAGGAGGAGGAGAAGAAGAAGAAGAAAAAGAAGAAGAAGAAGAATCTTTTAAGAACAAGCGAAGGGGAAGAAGAAGAAGAAGAAGAAGAAGAAGAAGAAGAAGAAGAAGAAGAAGAAGAAGAAGAAGAAGAAAATGAAGGAGTAGTAGAAGAAAGAGAAGGCAGAGTCACCAGGAGAACGGAAGTTGAGATAGTGGTGGGTGTGATGGAGGATGAGGAGGAAAAGGAGGAGGATGAGGAGGAGGAGGTACAGGAAGTCTTGAATCTAGACGTTTGGTTGATTATTGCCGAATTCATAAGCAAGGTCTGATCTCTAACTTAATCACCTGTAACCTATCCGCCATCTTTTATGGGTTGTTACTAGAACGTCTCAAAGCTCAACCCATCTCTAATTGTGAGGCATCGTGGTGAAATCAAGCGCTGGTCAAAACTATTAAATCGAAGAATCCGCCATTTTTCCGACGGTTTGTCGATTTTTATTGAATTTTTGTCATTTGGCTCAACACTTTTTATGTCTATTTAAAAACACATTTATATAAGAATTTTACAGAAAAACGTTTCTTAATGGCACGAAAAAAAGATACATTTTCAGTTTCCAATCACTCTCAAGCTAAGGAAGTCACCAAACTTTGGCGTCCATTGTCTCGTTAATTTTGACTCTGAAACCAGGTGACCCACACCTCCTTCAATTGCGAATGTTTTGACTTCTATTCAAGATAGATAGGAATTTTTTCCATTAAAAAAGTAAGAAAGCAAACAAATTTTAAGAAGACGCCATTAACTCCAAATGCCCGAAAACTGACGAGCACCTGATTCCACCGCGTCCAAGACCTAATTGCATTCTTCGATATCTCAGCTGATCACTTTTTTTTTTTGGAAGGGGGGGGGTGGGCATCCACATCGTCGTCCTCAATGGTTAAGTCTAACAGAACGCAAAGGGTCAGAAATATCTGACTAGCAGTAGGCGCAGAGCGAAGGCAATGTTGAGGTAGATTTCGTGTCATAGTGCTCGTGAATTTGCGTATTAATTCATTGGCAGACAGGTAAGTAGATGGGTAGGTAGTTTGGTAGGTAGGTAGATGGGTAGGTAGTTTGGTAGGTAGGTAGATGGGTAGGTAGGTAGATGGTAGGTTTGTAGGTAGGTGAATATGCAGCTAGATATGCATGCACTTGTGTGGGTGGTGTGTGTGTATTTTTAAGTGCTTGTGTGGGTTGTGTGTGTGTTTTTGAGTGCTTGCGTGTCTCTTTTTGTTTTGGTAAGTATTTTACGGCGCGTGGTGCTCGCAACTGGGTATACGGACATATGAGCGCGAGTGGTGCTCGTCTCTGTGAAAACATATACATGTGTGTGTGTGTGTGTGTGTGTGTGTGTGTGTGTGTGTGTGTG